ACGGAACTTCAGGGGCACATTTTGGAGTTAACAAGACTTTGGTCAAAATTAGGGAACGTTTTTACTGGGTTCACTATCATGAAGACGTTAAAAACTGGTGTCGAAAATGCGACATCTGTGCTACCAGTAAAGACCCTAAACTAAGATCTCGGGGGCCCATGGAACAGTATAACGTCGATCTCCCATTTGAAAGAGTATATAGCTATAGATGTTGCCGAACCGTTCCCTGAGTCAGAGCGTGGTAACAAATACATCTTGGTTATCATGTATTACTTCAGTAAATGGCCAGAAATTTTCCTTATTTCCAATCAAAAAGCCATCACTATTGCCCAGGTGCTAGTGGACGAAGTTTCAGTCGTCATGGTGTGCCACTGCAGTTGCATTCAGATCAGGTACGAAACTTCGAATCTGCCCTCTTTAAGAAAATTTGTGAGATCATGGGCATTCATAAGGATTTATTCATTCTTCGGAAACTTATTGCCGCTGCTAAAAAGAAATATTATCACGATCGTCTTAATTGATCATCAAATAAACAAAAAGAATATTGGCAAATCATGAATAATATTCGCTCCAACAACTCTTCAAAACCGTCATCGTCACACTCCCGATCATTTTAATCAGTACTATTGCAGTATTGCAAGAAATTTAACAAAAAATATCAAACCCAGTGGGGATTCGATCTCCTACATGTCTAGAATATCAGTGGCTGATTCATGAAAATAACTTCTGGCTGCTATGCTGTGAAGACGACAGTCCGGGAGCTGGGGTTTAACTTATGGCATTGTTTTCTGGGTCTAAACAACTGATCAGCTAATTGGTATGTGGTTTATCTTACAGAAGAGAGCGTTGAGATATCTGTGTAATGCTAACTATAGAGAATCATGTAAAGCTCTGTTAAAATCCAAGAAAATCTTAGCCATCCCTTGTTTGTATATTTTAGAAACAAGTCTCATTTATACTCATCCCAATGACTTTATTCGGCCTTCCACTAGCTATAGCTATAGTACAAGATCTACTCAGCAAACTAACCTACAGCTTCCTATTCCGAAATCTTCGCTTGTTTATAAATCAATACACTACAATGGTATAAAGATGTTCAACCATCTACCACAAGCAATTAAAATCTCACCAACAATGATATTATTTAGAACAGGACTACGGGACCTACTTTCTGATAAAGCCTATTATAGTTTGAACGAGTATTATCAAGAAAGATTTTAAGCCATGATCAGCATGTTTCTAACTTTGTATGTTTTAAATAATTGTGATCGAATGGGTTTCTTTTTTTTTTTTTAAATTTTATTGTTTTGACCGCAGAATTTGTATTTAAACTTGAGTTTTAAACTAATGTAATTGTAGTGTCTTTCTATTTAGTAAGTAACTTATTCAGTCGGTGAGTTTATAGTTTTATGAAAAAAATACCTAATAAGTTATATATTTTTTATTATATTTATTCATCTACCAAAGATTAATTTAGATTTAGATTTAATCCCGACTTTTAAAATTTGTGTAAACCGTGGTGTTTTTTTTTGTGGTCTTATTTAACTAATTTGACGTTAATAATAATTCGTAATTTTATTTGATCAGAAAATTATTCTTACCTTTTATTGTAACTGTAAGCACAGTCTATTTTTTAATATTTTGTGCAATAGCTAAGTATTAGAGCTGTTAAATTTTGTTACTATTTCTGACGGTTTATAAATACATTTGTTAGTTGTTAAGTTTTGCTCTGTCCACAAAATAAATGGTAATGTATTTATGACAAAAGCACACTATCTATCCATCTACGATAGGGCCAACACCTTCACATCCACAGTCTGATGACATGGTAGAATGATTTAATACGACCATAGAGGAACACCTGACAAAAGTGGTCGCAAAGAACCAGAGAGATTGGGACAAATATTTGCCACTTGCCACTATTTTTAATGGCTTACAGAGCAGCTGTTCACGAGTCAACAGGTGAAAGTCCAGCTAGAATCGTTTTTGAAAGGGAACTCAGGTTACCTTGCGATCTGTTGTTTGGAATGCCTGAAGAAGAACGAAAAGAAATTCGAGATTATGCCGACGAAGTGAGGGCACGACTTCTGGGGATGCATGATCTACCTCGGGAGCATATTCAGCTGGCCGAATGAAGACCAGATACAACTTTAAAGCCAATTCAGACGGATTTCAAGAAGGTGATTTAGTGTGGCAGTATAATCCAGCAAAAAAGAAAGGAGTGTCGCCGAAATTGTCTTCAGCATGGGAAGGGCTCTATAGAATAATCAAGAGGATCAATGATTTGGTTTATCGAGTTCAGCGCAGCACCAGGATGAAGATGAAAGTTGTACATTTGGACAGATTGATGAAATTCATGGGCGCGAAGTTACTCGAGATGATCAACCTTAAGAGAAGGGCAGTGTGGCGCTTTCGCCAGCATGTACAGAATCAAATCTGAAATCTAGAATTTACGGCCTTTTTTAGGAAAAGAGATTATCGCGCCCATTTGAAATTAAACAATAATGGAATACGGATATATAAAGGCCGGTATTAGTTAGTAGTTTTTAAGTTTAAGATTGGCTGTGATACGTTTTAAATAGTGATTATTGTAAGAGTTAAGTTGCTTGAGTTAATTATTGAAGTAATTAGTGTCAGAGTTAATTAGTAACGTGGAATAAATTATTGTTGTGTTAATTGGACTTTGATTTTTGGAATAAACGAGCCCAAGATTACTGTCACGCACCCCAGAATTGTGACAATAGAATAAGGTACTTTGGATCAAAATTCGGTACAATTGACAATCGGAGGGATCCATCGTCATAATTACTAATCAGAAAAGGCTCAAAAACAGGTGGGATGGTTATTCGCAATGGCGGTTGGAAGCCTGCGGTCTTACATTCTTGAAGCGCATTAGAAATGCACAGTTAATCCCGAGCAAGCACTCATGACATTAAACAGAAAATAATAAAAGGGATGCCTAGAAGGGCTGTAATTGCTATCATCGCCATCTCCACTCTGAAATTGGATCAGTTCTCACAATGCTGAAAGCACGAGGAAGTGATCAGGCTTACGGAAGCATAACAGGACGAAATGTTCTCTCAGAACTACCATTCCATCGGGTTGTAGACACACGTCATTAAACTGGGCAACGAGCACTTAGAATAGTAGAGTACATTACCAATGGATTCAACTACAGAAGAGCAACATCTTCCGCTAGACGTAAAATGAGCCTCTTGTCGAGTATGGCACAAATAAATACGAAAAACGATTCAATTCAGATGTCGAGCAAAGACTTGCAAGCTAAATTTGGTTCAAGTAACCTAAAGAATAAGCCTAAATATTTGCATTGAAGGAATTTGAAAGAATTCTTTGAAGAAGCCTTTTGAAGCCAGTTTAAAAGAATCGATGAAGATGACTCCATTGCAAGTACGGGATCCTTATATCCAGAGCCCGCCAATCGCCAGTAAATTTTCCTCAAACCGAAGAAAGTTAGGAAGTGTTTATAGAGCTCTATGTAGGTATGTGGATTCTCAATTTGGTCTTGGGAAATGAAACATCTCTTCCGATTATTCACGATAAAACCTAATGAAGACCGTTGGGACCAATAACATCCGAAAATTGAATCTATTGATTTTATCTAGGGAAAAGTTTGAGATAATCCCTGTGAGAAAAATGATAAAAGTGGAGAGTTCCAACTGTTGAAACGGCCCTATCTATTACTTCTACTGATTTGAATACCGGATTTCGTAAATATTTTTGAAGTCCACTGCGGAATTTCCCAAATATGCATATTTCATTGATATTTTTATAGTTTCTGAAAAAAATCTCTATTACTTATAATACTGTGTACATATATAAATTAATTTCTAAATAGAACGAAGCACCGTTAAGTGCCAATTTCCCGTATATAATCAAAAGTTTCCACATAAAACGAAAATTCCCTAAAGGCGCGTCTTTAATCATCTCGGGCAGTAACGGAAGGTTCAAGAATAAAATATTTCAAAAAGAAAATTTCCATTTTTCCACAATGAAAATCGATCCTGCCCTCCAACAAAAGAGTATATGTAAATCTGCTCATGAAGCAGTATGCATATCGCGATATTATGTAAATTCCGTATTCCTCTCGACACTGATATCTCCATTCTTTCTGGATGGCGGTTATAGACACACCGGCGAACTCTCGCACAACCTCATTACCTTCTGCTTTCTCGGTTACATATGTTATCTCTGGGTAAATTTTTAATAGGTACATTTGCTGTAGAGCAAATTTTAATGCATGAAAAATGAATACGTAATCATAAAAGATATAAAAAAATTATTTTACAATTTTAATGGGCTTTGCATGCTTTTGATTTTGCATTCCTGGCTCAAACAATAACGAAAATATGTTTTTGTCATTCAATAAAGCCACTTTTCTTTTACAACTCATATTTCCATTTAATTCCAATCCTAAATACATCTATACCCATTTTACGAAGTCCTCGTTGAGAGCAATTTAATGTATTTTCTACAAACGGAATGAAATCCTTTGTTTTCAAAGAGTCCGTGAATGGGAACAAAGTCGCGGAGCATTTGAAAATATCTGCTAATGACAATAAAATAAACGGCTATAAATTGAAGTATTCCGGTCACAGATTTAAAACGTATTGAAAATACATTAAAGTCACTAGTGCAGACGTTCCTATTTGGTTGCTGAAAAACAATGGAAATGTAAAAATTGTCAAATCAAATACTTGTGGTAGATCTGTTTTAGTTTGAAATCCTCGTTTCTAGGTGTGTTTCTGAATTTTCACCCTTCCATATTTTAAGAAATTTTATTATTTTTTTTTTTTTTTTAATTCAGTGCCGTTACCGTTCTGTACTGATTAAACTATAAACCCACACCTAATAATTTTTCGCTGAGCAAATCGAGCATATTATGGGTCTCTTGTTAATTCATTAACAAAAGGGGTAACAAGACATGTGGTAGAAGAAATGCTAATCAAAGTAGAGAAAAACGAAGCGAAATTGGAGCAAAAATGGATTCAAAAAGTTATGAAGGAATCCATAAAAATATCACTTCCACTACCTGTTATGTGGGCGGGTAAGAAAACCTATTAGTGAAGATTTTTAAACATTTCACTTTATTTATTTTTTTGTATTATCAATTGAATCAGACGAGACGTACATAAGTGTATCAAAAAATTATAATAATAATAATAATCATTTTAGAAGCGTAGCAATCGTCTTGTTGGAAACAACATCCAACAAAAATACTTTGAATTTTAGCAACAATGCAGTAACGCTAGTTTTGTCCTGTTGTCAAAAGAAAGCGCTACCTCCTATTGAGGAGCAGGCAACGCTGTAAATTCAGTAGCGAAGTGACCTTCGATGGTACAACAGCATGCTCGGGCGCTACGCAATTAATTATTACAATTTAATTAAATAAAATCGCTCCGCGATATTTTTTGAGTGCCGAAATTTCGTATTTCGTTCTCTGACTGCTCTGCCCTTGCTGGCATCATTCTACTCTCATGTAAAATATTGTAAATACGTTCCTTAAGTCTAAGTTCGCGCATAGTATCCTCACGTGTTTTCTGTACAGTGTAAAAATCATGTAAATAAATGTACATAGTGTGAATTTACGCGCATTATTTAACCCGATTAAAAACATTTATAAAAATACAGTCCAAAAACATCGAAGGCAAATAATGCTGGGCATGTTCCCATCATTATTTTTGGTCCTCATCTAACCGGATATTAAAAAACAATCGGTAACATAAATAACTATTTTGTCGTGACCTAAGAAAGTGACAATGTGACAATTTATAAATAAATATTATACAAAATCAAGTGCATCGAAAAACAAAATGGCGTCGGTTTTCCCATGTTTGCCGGTTGCCGGGCGGTTCGTCTAGCCAAAATTCGAAACAAAAAACGAGCAATTTCTTATACATTCGTGGATGTTCGTGTGATGGTGGCGCCTCCACTTCCCGAATCGCCGAAGCGCTACACTCTGCCGCCAGAATTCAAAATTTGATGTGCTACCCCTTCCACTGGATAACCTTCAAAACAATTTCGCCTGTCAACAATGTCTTTTCAATTTTAACAGCTGATTGCGATCAACTTGCTGTCATTGCTGATGATGTTTATTGTTTATTTGGAGTATGGATTCGTAATTCGAATTCGTTTGGTATGGATTTCTTCCAGTTTTACAAATGGATTTTGGTGTTATTTGTGGATTGGAAGGCTAAAGGCTAGATACTTTGTTGGTGAGCGTATTAATTCCTTTATTTATTTGAAAAAACTACTCTAAAGTTAATTATTTGTTAGTGTTTACAGTTTACATGCATTCATTGCATTCTTTGTAGAATACCCTGCACATAAACAAACTTTGTTTTACCTCCCTTGTAAATTAAAAATTATTATTCAAGTGCATTTAGTTTTAAACTATTGTCTAATAGATTAGAGGCTTTCTATAAAAGCAATACTTTTCAACAAATATATTTTTAAATAGTAGGTAAAAATGGGCAGTAAAAAAGAATTGTTAAAATTAAAAGAAAAGGGAAAGCAATGCCAAGCTACATTAGATGAAATCAATAGGTTTATCGCAGCACACATAGATGATCCTTTCTCAAATATTATCATGCAACAATTTCAGTCCAGAAAGGATGCTTGTGAAATATGTTATGAAACCTATAAAGAGGTACAAATCGAAATTACTTTGCTGGATAATACTTATATTTTTGATGATGACTTTGAAAATTATTATTTTGACACAGTAGCCTCTTTGAATGGAATCTTAAACAAATCAAATCAAGTCAATAAAGTTTCATCGCATGATAATACTGATTACACTCAAAAAGGTGCAGTGTCTTCTGCTAAGCTGTCACACATTGAGATACCAGTATTCGATGGAAAAAATTTAAATAATTTTAAACCATTCGTGGACATTTTTACTGCGGTAATTGATAAAAATGAGTCTTTGTCCGATGTAGAAAAATTATTTTATCTAAGAAGCTACCTCAAAGGCGAGGCTTTGTCCCTAATTAATAATTTACCTCTTATCAATGAATCATATGATGAAGCTTTTAAAATTTTAAAAAATAGATATGATAATGAATGCATGCTTGTTAGCAATCATATCTATTCATTGCTGGATTTACCAGGAATTACTAAAGGTAATCCTATTGCTCTTCGTGAATTTGTTAGTAAAATTAGGCAACAAATTGGCGCCTTAAAGAACTTAAAGCAACCCATCGAACATTGGGATATGATTCTAATATGTTTACTGTCACGAAAACTGGATCAATATACCAATCGTTCTTTTCAAATTGATAGAAATCAAGCCACCTTACCTACATTAGAAGAATTTTTAACTTATATTGAAAAAAGAGCTACAGCCCTAGAAGCTGTATCTTTACCTGATAACAAAACATTTAGAACCACTAGCTCTGCTAGTCATTTTGCTGTCAAAGAAAAAAGCGATTTCAAGTGCTCTTTTTGTTCAAATATAGGCCATAAACTGTATAGTTGTTCCAAATTTAAATTAAAATCTGCAAATGAAAGAGTTTCATTTGCAGAAAGACACAAGCTGTGCAAACTATGTTTAAATAGTCATTTAGGGTCTTGTAAATTAACAATAAAATGTCAAACTTGTAGTAAAGCCCACAACACCCTGTTGCATCTGAGCAAACCAGTTCAAAAGCCATCTATCCAACAAGAAAACGTGTCTCCTGTTGAATCAAATCATGGTTTTGTCAATAAAACATTTAATAATGTTCTTTTACCCACTGTGAAAATTAAAATTAAAACCAATAGTCATGATTTTATACATGCTCGAGGTTTAATAGACAGCGGTTCACAAGTTTCATTGGTGACCAGTGAACTTGCTAAAAAATTAAAGTTAAAAACATTTAAAAATAATTTAAATATTTCAGGTGTATCAACGAGTTCAACCTCTGTCAATAAATGTGTCAATTTATTAATTCATTCTTGTTTTAATGATTTTAAGTTAAATATCACTTGTGCAATCACTGAAAGAATAACTGGAAATTTACCCCAATTTCAATTTGATCTTGATTCTTTTAATATCCCTAAAAATATTGAGCTTTCAGACCCTGATTTTAACGAACCAAATAAAATTGATATTTTGCTTGGGGCTGATACATTTTTCCAAATCATTTTGCCAAACAATATAAATTTAGGAAAAAATAATCTAGTTTTGCAAAACACCTACTTTGGGTATGTTGTTGGCGGCTCTGTTCCAAAAAACGTTTTGGAAAATAATTTTTGTAACATGTCAGTTGTCAGCTTACATGCGACAGCAAATAGTAATGCTAATTTGGAAAATTTATTGACTAAATTTTGGGACGTGGAAAAAGTTCAAGAGGTGTACACGGAGTACACAAATGAGCAAGAAGCATGTGAAACAATTTTTAGTAACACTGTTTCATTAGTTAATAACAAATTTGAAGTTTGTTTACCTCTAAAGCAAGGATTAGAAGAAATAAATTTAGGAGATTCTTTCAGCATGGCATTAAAACGTTTCGAAAACTTAGAAAAACGTTTTAAAGTAAATCCAGAGCTTTTTAAGCAATACTCTGAGTTCATTAATGAATATTTAAATTTAAAACATGCCATCGTGTTTGATATTAACAAATATAATTTAAACGATGGATGTGTTTACTTCATGGCACACCATCCAGTAATCCGCGATGATAAAAAGACTACCCGTTTGCGTGTTGTGTTCGATGGTAGTATGCGATCTAGAAGTAAAAAATCACTTAATGATATGCTTTATAATGGCGCTGTAGTTCAAAGCGAACTATTTGATATACTTGTGCAATTTCGAACATTCAAATTTGTTATTTTAAGTGACATTAAACAAATGTTCAGGATGATTAATATTCAACCTGATCAATGTTGCTTACAAAATATTTTGTGGAGAGAAGATCCACAAGAAGACATTAAATGTCTTCAGCTACAGACTGTAACCTATGGTCTTAAAAGTAGCAGTTTTTTAGCAACAAGGTGCTTGGTCGAACTTGCGGTCAAAGAAAAAGATAAGTTTCCTTTAGCTTCAAGAGCCCTGCTTCAGAATACTTATGTAGATGATATTTTGACAGGGGGTCAAACTGCTGAGGAAACGATGCAATTGAAAATTGAATTAATTAATTTATTAAAGTTAGGCTCTTTTGAACTACACAAGTGGAGCTCTAATAGTCCTGAGCTTTTATCTGATATTCCCACCAATGTTCATCATCTAGATGAAGTTGATATTGACAAAAACAACACAACTGTCAAGACTCTCGGGTTATCATATGATACAAATTCTGATACATTTACTATGGCCTCACCAAAGACAAATTCTACCTGCATAACTAAAAGGCAAATTCTGAGTCATATATGTAAATTTTATGATCCCCTCGGCTTTTTGGGCCCAATTTTAGTGGCGGCCAAAATTCTTATTCAAAAAATTTGGATTCTCAAAATAAATTGGGATGACATTTTGCCCGAAAAAATCTTAACAGAGTGGAATTTACTAATCGACAGTATTAAGAACATGCCACCAATAAAAATTCCCCGTGACTTACATTTCACGCACGCAGAAAAAATTGAAATTGTATGTTATTGTGATGCCTCAATTCTTGCGTATGGTACGTCCATATACGTACGTGCTTTATTTCCTGATAAAATATATGTCAATCTACTTTGTAGCAAATCTCGTATCGCTCCGATTAATAAAAAGTTAACTGTACCCAAACTGGAGTTGAATAGTGCTCTTTTAATGTCTATTTTATTTAAAAGAATTTTTAATGCTTTAAAATCAAAAATTAACAGCTGCTACTTATATTCTGATTCAGAAATAGTCTTGTCTTGGGTTGCAACCAATCCGATAAAGTTAAATCCGTATGTAGCAAATCGGGTTATACAAATACAAGAAAATACTAAAGGATTTAAGTGGTTATACATAAACTCAAAACAGAATCCAAGCGATTGTTTAAGTCGTGGCTTAAATGCTTCTGAGATAGTTTCACATGACTTGTGGTTTCATGGTCCAAAAGAACTCGGTGAAAAAAATTTTAAACATAATGTTAATTTTAAAATTAAAATACCTAGTCCTCTACCTGAAGAAAAACTTAACGTTTTGACTCACATTTCTGATCCCATGATTTGTTCATTTTTAAAACAAGTTTCTGACTTTCATATTCTTCAGAAGAGAATTGCTTATCTTTTACGATTTGTACACAATATTAAAAATAAAAACAGCAAACTTGTTGATGAACACTTGACTTTAAATGAAATGGATAATTCCTTCAAAATAATGATTAAAATATGTCAATCAGTTCATTTTAGGAATGAACTAAAAGAGTTAAAACAAAATAACTACTTATCAAAATTTCCTATAAAATCCTTGGCTCCTTTTCTGGATGCTGAAGGCATTCTGCGCGTAGGCGGAAGGCTGCAAAACGCACAGATTCCTTTTAACAAAAAACACCCTATCATTTTACCAAAAGGTTGTCATGTAACAAACCTCTTAATTCAAAGAGAACATATTCGTCTTCTCCATGCGGGACCTAAACAAGTTCTAAGCAGCCTAAATCAAAAATTTTGGTTAATAAATAGTACTCGCGAAATAAAAAAGAATTTACATAGTTGTGTAACATGCTTTAAAGCAAAAGCACAGTGTGCATCTCAGCTTATGGGATCGCTTCCAGAAAATAGACTAAAAGCTATCCGCGCCTTTGAAATAGTCGGGATTGATTTCTGCGGGCCTTTTCAAATTAGGCAATCCAGAATAAGAAAGTCAATTGAAACCAAATCATATATCGCGCTTTTTGTATGCTTTGCTACAAAAGCCATACATATGGAATTGATGTCGGACTTAACCACAGATAATTTTATAGCTGCATTCAAACGATTTATTTATCGTCGTGGCAAACCGTCGCAAGTACACTGTGATAACGGTGGTACGTTTGTTGGTACAAAAAATAAACTTAACGAAATGTATAAAATTGTAAATAGTTCAAATAAAAATAAAATAAAAGATTTTTGCCTAGCTGAGCAAATAAAATTCAACTTTATACCAAGTTACTCACCTGTATTTGGAGGGTTATGGGAAGCAGGCGTGAAAAGCGCCAAGTATCACCTCAAAAGGATTATGGGTAATCGAGTTTTTTCTTATGAAGAGTTTAACACTATAATAGTCCAAGTTGAGGGGATACTTAATTCACGCCCGCTTACCCAGTTATCAAGTGACCCATCGGATCTGATATATTTAACACCAGGTCACTTTCTGACAGGTACAAATATCAGTAGCTTCCCCGAACCTGATGTTTCCGATATCCCCCCTAACCGTTTGTCATTTTGGAACTTGTGTGTTCAGGTGCAACAGCAGTTTTGGGCTCGGTGGCATAAGGATTTCTTGACACAATTACAAAATAGGCCAAAATGGCAAGATCCATTACCTAATTTGAAAGAAGGACTCATAGTCTTACTTAAAGAAGACAAAGTCCCCTCATTAAAGTGGCCAGTTGCCAGAATAACCAAGGTAATTCCTGGTAGGGATGGCAAGGTACGTGTAGTGGAGGTCAAGACCAAAAATGGCACCTATCTACGCAGTGTAACAAAAATTGCTGTGCTGCCAATTTACAATTAAAAATTTAAAATTGAAATTTTGTAAATTTTGTAAATTTTTTATATTTTTTACATTTTCCAGCAAATAAAATAAAAATATAACATAGGGAATATTTTTTCTTATAATAACTTGAGTACATATATCATGTATATAAATTTCTTCTATTGTAGCATTGACTTCTGGTCATCACAGCCTTTGGCTCAAGATTTATATAAGATTTCGCATCTTTCCATTTTCTATTAATTTAAAGGTTTGTCTATTGTGATTTTGTCCATAGCACATAGTATTTTAGCTATAATTTTGATAAGTAAGATTTTGCATCTTTTCATATACCTACCTTATGTGTAATAATAACCTAGACCTTTGAGTCTACCATTTCGACTTAGTGTCATTATATTTAATTTTTGCCTTAACTATACAAATATTATATAATAAGATTTCGTATCTATATTATAACTTTATTAAATAATAAGATTTCGTATCCATATTATAACTTTATTTTTGCCTAAGGCCCCAACATGTTGGAAACAACATCCAACAAAAATACTTTGAATTTTAGCAACAATGCAGTAACGCTAGTTTTGTCCTGTTGTCAAAAGAAAGCGCTACCTCCTATTGAGGAGCAGGCAACGCTGTAAATTCAGTAGCGAAGTGACCTTCGATGGTACAACAGCATGCTCGGGCGCTACGCAATTAATTATTACAATTTAATTAAATAAAATCGCTCCGCGATATTTTTTGAGTGCCGAAATTTCGTATTTCGTTCTCTGACTGCTCTGCCCTTGCTGGCATCATTCTACTCTCATGTAAAATATTGTAAATACGTTCCTTAAGTCTAAGTTCGCGCATAGTATCCTCACGTGTTTTCTGTACAGTGTAAAAATCATGTAAATAAATGTACATAGTGTGAATTTACGCGCATTATTTAACCCGATTAAAAACATTTATAAAAATACAGTCCAAAAACATCGAAGGCAAATAATGCTGGGCATGTTCCCATCACGTCTAACAAACGAAACAACTTATAAAATAGATTCAAAAATCAAAAAAATGCTGCTCATCATTCAACGTCAATGACTCTTCCTTGCCGACTGGTGCTAACTGTCTCTATTGGATAAGGCGAATTGACATTGACGGTTAGGATTTAAAGTTCAATTCGTAAGCGGCGCAAACACCAGCATCGTACGGAACTTGGACAAATTGATGTATTAAGAGCAGACATGTATCTTAATATTCCACTTGTATGCAGTCTTTTAAACAATTTGAATCCGTCCTCGCGACCTGAGAAAATCGGGCCGAAAACCCTGGAATTAATTCTCGAAAATTATCAGCCATTATTCTCCTGGCGAGAAAGGCCCCTAATTTAAAATATCGTGACAATGCGGGTTAAATGGAAAGGCTTTAGCGTACTCACGACTCCCCAAATTTTCCCAAGATCCTCTCTTTGTTCATGTTTTCTATAGGCCCTGGTAATGATAAATACTAAATCATAATTGTTTTGTGATAAATTCCAAAGTGGCTTTTTTTTTTTTTTTTTTTTTTTTTTTTTTTTTTTTTTTTTTGGCATGCGGCCTTTACCATACAGCCAGTTGCAATTTTTGAAACTAAGACATATACGCTTAGTTTTGTAAAAAAAAAAATATTTTTTTTTTTTTTTTTTATATATTTTTTTTTTTTTTTTTTTCCAAAGTGGCTTTGTTAGTATGAAAAGTATATTTAATACTTAAATTATATTATTTTCAGAAGTTTTATCGTCTGTTTTATAGTTTACAGTGTGAAGGATTTTCTTGGCATGCAGACGTTTTATTGAATTTTCGAACGGATGGCAGGCATTAACATCACCCATATTCTCATCAGCTAACTAGCCACATTCAGCCCTCAAAATGCCAGACAAAAAAAAAGTGACACACACTAAACAGTCCTTATAGTCGGGTCGCCGAGCCATGTGATACGTAGGATACAACTAAAGTTTTATGAATGATCTTAGTACTATTTGATACACATTTTTTTGCAGGTTAAACATGTTTGAAGATACCAAGCGGTGCTTTTTCAACTGCAATCGTAGTGATTCACTAGTGACTGGTGGAGTAAATCGACTAAAGAAAACTGCTGAGAGCAGTAGAGAGCGAGGAGACACTATCCGTACACAAATTGAATCTGGTCTACAAGATGGGAGTTTAACGAGTTTGCAATTTCACAAGGTTTGTGTAAGCAGTTATACATTTAAGCAACATATACAAGGTGCAGTAAAGAAAAAAGGTGAACAATAGTGTGAAGCAACTAGCGGCAGTGAACCCAAGCGTAATTGTACCAGACGATCTTATGAGTGCTTCCAGTTTCTTGTGCAATGTTTCTTTTGTAGGCAGGAATGTCTGCCACCGGACCCTAAACACCCAGAACGGTAGAAGACTTTCAGAGAGTGCGAAACATTGGATAAAAAAATGGTGGCTCACTTCACAGAACATATCACCTCTAGAAAAGTATCTGCAATGTTATGCACCGGTTATGAATTACAGCGCCATCGTTGACTGAAAACCCAACTAATCGAGCATTCTTGACAAAAAGGCGAATCGATTTTTTGATATATTTTTATTATTTTTAAATAATTTTTAATGTTCAACTGCATTTGGCTTGCTGACTCCTTTTAGCTCTTTTCGCCTCAATTTCTTGAAAACTATGACTGGCAGGAAGTTTCCGATGTCGAACATAGTGCAAAAAGAGTTAGTAAGTTAGGAAGAGACACGCAGCTATAGGTAGATCGCAAAGTAAATACGAATAATAAATACAAATACGAACGAAACGAAACAAACGAGTAAATACAAAAAAATACGAACAAAAATTAGGGTTTCAAAAAGTTTTTCAACCAAAACTTTTTGAATTTTCACTTTAACGCGCGTGGGAACCATGGTTTACAACAACACAATTTAAAAATTCAAATTTTGACTTTTAAAATGACAAAATAAATGACAAAACCAACCAACACAAATCACTGTCCACACCACAGATACCTGTAAATTTCTCTTATCTCTCGACAGTGTCGCCATCGTTGACTAAAAACCTAACTAAAAACCTTCGTCGCGATTCTCCCATTTAAGATATTTTTCTATAGTAATTTCACAAAGTGACGTATCTCAAATCAGGGTTTTATTTGAGACAAGTGAAACATTGATGCGCCTCCTGATGCACCTAATGCCAAAAGATGATCTGGCTCCATGTATTATTGAAACATTGTAACTGGATTTGTGTCAAAAACGTATACTCCTCTACAAGTATCTCTTGGTGTAACACTTCATCACGCTTATTCATCAAGACAACTTATTGATTTGCTATATGGCTTTGAAATTTGTTGTAGCTATGACGAAGTAATGAGGTACAAATCCTCAGTAGCAACTACAGTTTGCCGTAACATACAATCAGCAAACTTCAAACTACAGGGAGTAAATAGCTTGAAGCCCGATTGTCTGATTCAAACGATAGTAGACAATTTCGATATACAGATCTCCTCAGCAAATGGACTGAAACCAACACACTCCCTCGCTATGATAGTATCACTCCAGTCTAAGGATAGTGATAATGTGGAATCTGCTGTTGCCATTAAACAGTTGAAAAAGGTCGAAACTATTGGTCTCAAACTACCTGACGTACAAATCCAGCATTACCATGGTACCTACTAATAAACCACCCATGCCCGACGCTGCAGCTAAAAGGTTTTTTTCAGACACTATCAGTTTTGGCACGAACAGTTGTGTTACTAGAAGCAGCTAAAGCAAGTGATTTCAATTTTCTTAAACAAATTTCAGAAGATCCTAGCATCACACCGAAATATGGTGGCTTAATGACGAAGTGTGCTCGAGAATCACATACGGATATCTCTTCAAGAACTAACACAGTTTACTCACCACTCTTAGATATAATGCCAGTCGATCATGAAAACATAATCACCGCTATATATGAAGCTCAAAGGTTGACACAATCTATTGGGCAAGAATTCACAGTGCTTACGATAGATCAACAACTTTATCACAGCTGTGGAAGTGAAGTGTTATGGGTTCATCCAGAAAAATTTAGAAACTTCCATGCACGATTAGAAGGAATACACACCCTTATGTCATTTGTTGGCTGCGTTGGGACATTAATGTCATGTTCTCTCTTAGAAGATGTGCTGCAAGGTGCGTTTGCTGGTGATGGAGATGTGCTGGCTGGAAAAGAAATTTCCACATGGAATTCGAGCATTGCACGCATGACTGTGGAATAACTACTTTCACCATTGTTCTTTAACGAAGACATAAGTGGCTTTGATACTTTAATTATTTAACTGGAAAATATAGCAAGTGAGAGTAGAACAGCAAAGCATTGGATAAACTGTCTAATAAAGCCCCTGCTTATCATGTTAATGTCCATGCGATTCAAACGCGAAGGTAACTGGCCTTTGCATTTGTGGTCGCTGGAAGCAATGATACTTTATTTTTTTGCTTCAAGGCATTGGAACTACGCTCGTTATGCAACATATTATCTGCGAAGCATGGAACAACTGGATCCCGTTCTTTGTGAAAAGTTTCTGAGCGGTGAGCATGTAGCCCATCATAATTCCGTGATATGGAATGACATATGGACCGACATGCTAATTGAAACAAAATTTATGCGCTTTGGTAAAAGTCGTGGGGGAATAAAAGGAATAACGTTGAATCCAAATACGGTGAAGAAGTGGGCCCTATCATTGTATGTTCGCGGTCAGCTATCTAAAGATGTACAAGATATGATAGCTGGTGAAAAATCAAAGAAGGTTCACAAAGAGGAAAGTGCAGCAAGAACTAAATCTGATGAGGAGGATAGGCAGAAAATAAGAAAAAGACTAGAAGCATTTATAAACCCTTCGGTCATTGAAGATCACCCTGATGGTATTGGTATTGTGAATATAGATAGTGGCCGTATTGGATACATGAAAGTAAATGTGGATGATGCCGTATGCCTCGGAGAAAAGCAACGACAAAAATTTGAGGAATCATTGCCGACAGGATTTTATGATCCTTTGGAAAAGGAAGTTGTCACTTTGTCAAATGACAAGGAACATATGTTGGTGTTCTGTGGTTGGTTCAACAAATGAGTATCTATAGCACAGAGGCTAAATACGCACGTGCTCTACAACTAATGACACGTAAGGTTGAAATATGCAGCCTGCCAACTTTGTTTGGTTATGAATTGTCACCAGTCCCGTCAGCACTATTTCATGAAGTTGGGGACATGAATCCGTCCTCCCAAAAATAACAGTTAATGAATCAATTGAGAGTACAGGTCTTGTCTATAGAGGTAAATTTGTGAATGCCTTGAATATAGATGCTAGTGCTCTTTTGTTATATGTTCATTGGCCAAAAGTTGGCACAACACAAACATATTGACAATGTGATTGCTGTGATCATGAAGCACGTTGAAGAACAGGACATATTTCTTCTATTTGATAGGTACTTCGAGTACAGTGCAAAGAGTGCAACGCGGTCAAAAAGAGGAGTTAACAGTACTTCCATGCAACTAAGAGCAGACACGCCTCTTCCAAGTGGCAACAGTATATTGGCCTATTCAAGCAATAAAATACAACTAACAACCATAATTTGTAATCAACTACTACTACATATTGAGTTTCTTCCACACTAGTTGGTCATTACTGGAACTGATACAATCCCAATTGAATTACAAACTCCTGGCGTTGTAATAATTCCTCGCTCAGATTTGGAACCTCACCATGAAGAACGAGACGTTATAATTGTATAGCAGGCTATTCGTCTGTCAAGGTATGCAACGAACAATATCAAGATTCTATCTGATGACACCGACGTTTTTGTTCTGCTTGTACACTTTTACAGAAAGCTGAATGCTGAATCTTATATGCGCTATGTGGAGGAGTCTTTTGACAAGGCCAAGTTCTCAGATATAGCAGCAACAGTTTATAATCTGGGAACCCAAGCAAACTCATTGTTAGCAGTGCATTGTCTCACTGGCTGTGATAGCACTTCACAGTTTTTTGGAATTGGAAAGTCTAATTCTGTTCTGAGATCTGCTATTGAAATTAAAATTTTAGGTTGTGTAGAATCTTCAATGCAACAATGTATAGCAGAGTTTACAAGCTTTATTGTACATTGCTACGGCTACAAGAAGGAAGTTCACAACATGTTAGATGTCATGTCAGATGTTCGACAAAGTGTGGTTAACTAAGAAAATTTCTCCTCAAATTAAGAGACCCCCTCCGACAACAGAGGTATTTGAACTACATATAAAACTCTCTGGTACCCATACAACTTCCAAGTAACAAAGAGGTGGCACCACCAGAATTTCTGAGAAGTTTAAGATGTAGCTGTTCAAGTGAGAAGCCATGTTCAAGAGCAAGGTGCAGTTGTGCACATGTAGGTCAGCCTTGTAAAGAATTTTACCTACGAGCATGCGGTAAAGTGCACTTTACCGCACGTATTTGAAAATGGAAAGTATTACTTTACCGCACACTATGCGGTAAAGTTAACTTTACAGACAAGCGGAAAGTGCCTTTACCGCCCTTAACGGCTTGACCGAACTCCGCTTTGCGTTGTTCGGTCAACTGCCGTTGCGTGCGGTAAAGTATCACTTTCCGCATTTGTTAGGTAAATAACTATTGCGCGTGCGAAGGTGACCAATTGTGTGGCGATTTGAGAACTCGCGAAGCTCAGCTTGATGGCAGTGACAGTGAAATGTCTACTTCCGACTCTGAATTATCTGTTATCTGATATGCATTCTGTAAATATTCTGTAATTAAACTTAAATAAAACTATGGTTGAACCAAATCCAAGCGGCAGTAATAACATTATCTAGTCATTTTCATTACAACCTATCAAATGTCCTCCGTGCATGCGCACTGGTCCAGGTAGGGCGTTTCAACCAATAGGAAGGCTGATGTTTGTTTACAATTTGGGTTATTTAATGTCATTTACTGCCAGTTGGATTTGAAAATGGTATAGATACTTTCTATCCATATATATTGCTTTTTTTACCTATATCACAACAATATCTATCTTAAAGTGTCCAGTGTTTCAAAAGCATAGTATACGTTATATTACATCACACATTAAACATTTCTCGAACAACAAATATTTCATTTTGGCTTACCGACTCCCTTTCATTCGTAATAAAATGGGTGAGTTCTGTTTTTGGACCTCGTGAACTTTGACCTTCAATATTTCTGTTGCCCAGAAGTGCCACCTCTCATATTTTGGTTCAGTATATCAAATAGTACTAAAATCAATCATAA